TTACTTTTCCAGTCAGGTGTTGACTTGGTCTGTCTAGCTATGTTAGCCTCTGATATGATGGCCCTATCTAGCACCCCAATGTAAGTCTCCAGCCTCAAGACATTCACTCTTTCTAAAATGTCACTTCAGAGCCCACCTTCAAAGTGTCTCGCCTTCTTGTAGTCAGTATCGATTACATGTGGTGCAAACCTGACCAATTCGGTGAATTTGGCCTCATACTCAGCTACGGTCATACTGTCTTGCCTTAGTTCCATGAACTCTGCTACTTTCCTGTCCCGAACACACTGCAGAAAGTACTTGTCATAGAAAATCTCCAAAAATTTCACCCAGTCAACATCTTTATGATTTTCTCGCATTAACATCCACCATCTTCTTGCCTCGTCTTCTAGCATAAAAGTGGCTAAAAGCACTTTCTGTGTCTCTGAACAGGGGAACACTTCAAACAGTTTCTCAATGCCGAGGACCCATGCTTCGGCTTTCAATGGATCTAATCCCCCGTGGAACTGTGGTGGTTTCATTTTCTTGAACTCTTTGGTGAGTGCTATTATTCGATCATCATTCAGATTATCTGGCACGGGTGGTGCCGGAGGTGGAGGTGGCGGGTGTGGTTGCTGCCACTATTGTTGCCACTCCTGTTGCTGTCTCAAAGTTTCTGCCATTTCCTGTATCAGTCTTTCCATTCTGTCTATTCTGGCAGTAGCAGGTTCCTCTATCTCATCACCTCTTGTTCTCTCCATCTAATTAAACTTACATTATACTTCATATGAAAGATTTACACGTATGCATATATTAAAGAGCATTCATATTCAAATAATTTGCAAAGCAAGCAAATCACAAACTTATAACACATAGTTGTTCACATTGAAACATTTAGATGCATTCTCGATACTATCAAAGCCGTACTTATCACATGAATGCATCCTATATCTTTTCTAGATGCTTATTGCTCTTTTGGACAAGTGTGTGAGTTATTAACTCGTGCTCTGATACCACTCTGTCATGACCCGAACCCGTCCCTGTGGGTTAAGGACATAACCGGCCAGTAATCATGAGACTACCTACGGCCTGAAACCAAACCAAACGTATTTTAACAGAGTTAAAGGGGGCCAAACGAAAGCAATTTAAACTTTATCCATAGAGCTGTGCTTACATGGCAAATAATATCAAACCATACATATGTATATTAATAACTTAACAAAATATGTACCACACCAGGTTCTGTACATACAGGATCATAATAGTCTAAGTCAACCCATCAAAACTATATACAACAGATACAAAGTCTTCGCCAATATAACAGAATATAAATACATCACAAAGGGCGAAGACGGGTCTCGTGCGTGAGACACAAGGACTGACTCTCCCGAAACCTTTGTTGTTCCACATAGACATCATTGGGGCTGGGTCTGGACTTCTTTTGGCTCACCTACAAACACATGAATGAGCGTGAGCGATAGCCCAGTGAATAATATCAAATGCAGACGTTATACAAACGATATATAGAACAACATGCTTCAAACGGCTTTAGGCCCAATTCATATTTGTATTTAACATATGTACACAACTTAGGTCAAGTGACTACGGTTCCAAACAAACTGGCCTTTGGCCCATTCAGATGACAAAATGGCCTTCGGCCCATTCATTCATGTCAAAACAGCCTCCGACCCATTCATTCATGTCAAAACGGCCTCCGGCCCATTCATTCTATCATTCAGATCAAACTGGCCTCTGGCCCACTCATTTGGAATAGTAAACATTGTCCACCAATCGAATCAATGAACTTATAAAACTTACATAGAAGTAAGCAATTGTACAACAACATATTTCAGATATCTCTATTAAGATATTACCCACAGTGATCGGTTGGTTGGTTTGCCCTAGAGCTTGACCTTACACATTCCATGAACACAAAAGGGTCACAAACAATTCAATCCGTTCTAAATTCACATTTTCCTCTTTAGGCTTCATTCTTATCTCTTTAACTCAATTACAATGCTCAACGCATGCCTAAGAGTACTTGGAAGTGAAAGAGAACATAAAATGAAACACATAATGTCTTTACAAAATTTCAGAAAATAGGGTTCCCACTCAAGCGTGGGCTTCACCGCTCGAGCAGACCCATAAGGTCTGCAAAAGTATTGGATGCATCAAAATTATGCTTGAGCGTGAAGTCTGGCGCTCGAGCTAAAGGTCTGTCTACATAGCTCCCCACTCGAGCGTGAACTTTCCCGCTCGAGCGGACTTCCAAGTCTGCAAAAATACTGGGAGCACGAATTTCACGCTCGAGCGAACGTTTCCCCGCTCGAGCGGACATCAAAATTATGGAAAACCCAGATGTAACAACCCTCACTTTGCCTTAGTCGTGCTCACATGCATTTATATGATTTTATCTTGTTAAGTTGCATTCATGAAATCCTGTTTTGTTTCATCTAAATGTTGTTGCATGCTTTGTTCCTTGTTTAGTGTGTGTTTAGCCGGGGTCATCTTAAGCCTAGGTCACACCTTTAAACTTCTTACACCTAGGACCATCTTGGAACCACTTTGGTTGACCTCCACCTTCACCCTGCACGTTGGCTGAGATGTCGTCATCTTAGCTGAGGTGTGCATCACCTAGGCCGAGATGTTATCCTTTAGGTATTAGAGATCTTTGATCCCTGCACCTGGTGATCTTGTTCCTGGACTGGTATGACCTACACCGAGGTGTGACACAGCTAGGCCAAGTGTTGTCCTTCCTAGCCGAGATCATTGAGACCCTACTTGCCGAAGCTTTGTCCTAGCCGAGATCATTACCCGCTGAACTGCCCATGTCACCTTGCTTGTTGCTTACACTTTGTCATGCTCTTGTCTTATCAATCTATCACCTTTTTGAGGAGATCTAATCAGCCATTGCCACGTGTCCCAGCAAAGGGTTAAGTCAGCCGGCAGAGTTAGAAACATATCATTTGTCATATTCTTGTCTTTGAAGAGAGAGAAGCTCTAGGAAGAGGAGAGGAAGTTGGAGTGAGAGAGCTAGATCCCAAGCTTGATCTTTAGAGTTTGAGCCGTTTAATCCATGTCTTGAGGTTAGAATCTTAATTTACTCTTGTTATTCTTTATGTTGATCCGATTGCATTGCATGATCTAGCATGATTCATGAGCCATGCATTGATTTAAAGTTGTTTTACAAAGAGAAAATGGTGTTCTTGTGTTCTTAAAGAAAAAAACCATGTTTTGATCCGAAAGTTTGTATCAAGATCCATGTTTTTGTGTTTGTTTTCTTAAGATCTTCAAGTATGGGTACCAAGGTCCATGTTTTTGAACTCATAGCATGAAATCTCAGATTTTGTAATAACAAGTTATGATTTTAGCATTCATGTTCATGATCTTCATGTGCTTCAAGGAAGGAAACCCAGATTTCCAGACTTCACTTTCCCCTAGGTGTGATCACTGAGACCACTCTTGCCTAGATCTCACACTTAGGTCAAGCATCGTATCTCACCTTGGCCTACCTTGCATGATCACTTGCACCATTAGACTATCTTGCATAAACACCTCGGCAGACAGTCGTTCGCCGAAGCCTGGTTGGCACCCAGAATGTTTTCCCGAGATGAAAAACAATGTTTTAACTTCCAGCATGTTTTGCTTTGACTTGACCTAGTCTTGAAGGAAATGCCGGGATCATTTGCATCCATGTGAGGCTTGTCTTGAGAGTGCATTTCATATCCATCTTTGAGCATTCTTTCTTGTCTCCTTAAAGTGCATTCAGTAGACTTTGCCATGTGTTTGCAGGACTTAGACCCTTGCTTTAACCCCGACGTCTGAAGAGCTATGTGAGTGGTATTTTTAATAAAGTTATGTTATAAAGTTTTGATAAAGCTTTACTTTGTTTTAGAAAAGTATTTGATCAAGCATGAATGATTATCCCTAGTTTTTGTATCAAGTATTATATTTGTTTTGATGACATTCTGGGAAAGTCCTTAGTGCTGTGGGACTATAATGCAACTGCACCCTTGTTTTGACATTCTTTAGTGCTAGAGGACTATAATGCAACTGCACCCTTGTTTTAACAGTCCTTAGTGTCAGGTGACTATAATGCAACTACACCCCTTGTTTTGCCACTAACGGTTTTCCGCGTGGGTTCGTTTGTCCGGAATGTCATCCTTTGGTATTATGTAGATGTTATTAACATCCAAGAAGCTTTGAAAGATTTGATAGATGAACTTGATACATCCCTTTGATTTGTAAAGATATGCTATGTATTGTTTTGGAAAAGATCTCAGATATCATTCATTCAAACATTTATTACCTATACCATTCACTGAGTATCCAAGCTCATCCTCTCTATATATATGTAGGTGACGAGCAAGAAGGCGGTGGCGCCTAGATGATTGTTTGCAAGATGTTTTTGGATTCATGTTTTGTAGCATCTTGAAGATTATGCTTCTTGGCTTGTAGTTATTTCTTTTGTATATGTCGGCTTGAGAAGCCTTTTGATCAAGATGTATTTTGTACTTTATTTTGTTGTATCCAAGTTGTAAGATATATTAAGATGTATGACATTTCATTTAATCTATGCACAGCTCTTGTGGACTATTTAGACTTAAATTTATTGCTTCCGCACTTGTAAGCCCCATATGTATACTCTGATTGTGTGTGATCCTTGCAAGCTGGCCTTTGGTAATCTCGGATTACTGGCCATCACGGCACCATTCTACTAGGGACGGAATGGGGTTGTGACAAATTGGTATTAGAGCACAAATTCCTTATAGTACGTTATTCACACACTTTGAGTCCTAAAGAGCATAGGATGTCCCTTAGAATGATGTTAGGGTTGCATCATATTGCTTGCTACTTGACAAGGTGTGCATCATCTCGGCATGATCATTTGTTACTTGCATACATGTCTATTTGTTCATTTTGTTTAAAAAAGTCACATTTTGCATACTCCTAGCATCATGAGAAGGGGTAGACCTCCAGTAAGCCGAGATCAATCCGAGGACAGGTTGGACAGATTAGAAAGGATGGTAAAGGGTTTGGCCCATGAGTTGAGGCAAGCAAGGCAACAGAACACCGGTACTACATCTACTCAAGCTGAGCAGACAGATGGCCGACGTGAAGTTCCATCTCCACCTCCTCCAGTACCACAAGTGCCTTCGCAGCCAGCTTTGTATGGGGATGGCACATTGACCTTGATCAAAGAATTCAAGAAGATGAACCCGTCAAAATTCCAAGGAGGTATAGAGCCAATGAAGGCAAAAGCATGGGTTCTTGAGATGGAGAAGTTGTTCGAAGTTTTTCCCAGCACCGACACTCAGAAGGTGTCTTTGGCAGCATTCACATTGGACGACGACACCCGTAGATGGTGGATGATGATCCGAGAAGGCAACCCAAGTTTGACTTGGGCCAGATTTTTGGAGTTGTTCTACGACAAGCACTTTCCCCTTAGTGTCCAAGATCGCAAGACCATGAAATTCCAGATGTTGACGCAGGGTAACAAAACAGTAGCTGAATATGATCGCGCTTTCACTGAGTTGGCAAGGTATGCACCCCACATGGCCAACAACGAATACATGAAAGCTAGAAAGTTTGAGAGTGGAATTTGGGGCCCAATACAAGATCGAGTTAATATGCTCAACATGTCGACGTATGCCGGAGTGTTAGATAAAGCCATCCTAGCCGAAGCTAACTTGAGCAGAAGCCAGAGTTCAGGAGAGAATCAGAGAAAGAGGCAAGATTACGACAATCGCTAAGTACCGTCCGATGTTAATAAGAAGGTAAATGTGGATAATTCAAGCAACTCAAATCAGGAAAGTGGCACCAGGCCGACATGTACAAGTTACGGAAAGCAACATTTTAGGGTTTGTTAACGGGTATCTGGAGCATGTTTTGAATGCGGTGAGATGGGTCATCGTATTAAGGATTGTCCCAAGGTAAAGGCTAGAGACGATAAGAAAAAATGAGAACCCGACATCCAGAGTTGTTTTGGGGATAAAGTAAGTTAAGTTTGGGGACCGAACTTCTTTAAGGGGGGAAGGATGTAACAACCCTCACTTTGCCTTAGTCGTGCTCACATGCATTTATATGATTTTGTCTTGTTAAGTTTCATTCATGAAATCCTGTTTTGTTTTATCTAAGTGTTGTTGCATGCTTTGTTCCTTATTTAGAGTGTGTTTAGCCGAGGTCATCTCAAGCCTAGGTCACACCTTTGAACTTCTTACACCTAGGACCATCTTGGAACCACTTTGGTTGACCTCCACCTTCACCCTGGCATATTAGCCAAGATGTCGTCATCTTGGCCGAGGTGTGCATTGCCTAGGCCGAGATGTTATCCTTTAGGTATTAGAGATCTTTGATCCCTGCACCTGGTGATCTTGTTCCTGGACTAGTATGACCTAGACCGAGGTGTGGCACATCTAGGCCGAGGTGTGGCACAGCTAGGCCAAGTGTTGTCCTTCCTAGCCGAGATCATTGAGACCATACTTGCCGAAGCTTTGTCCTAGCCGAGATCATTACCCGTCGAACTGCCCATGTCACCTTGCTTGTTGCTTACACTTTGTCATGCTCTTGTCTTATCAATCTATCACTTTTTGAGGAGATCTAATCAGTCGTTGCCACGTGTCCCAGTAGAGGGTTAAGTCAGCCGGCAGAGTTAGAAACATATCATTTGTCATATTCTTGTCTTTGAAGAGAGAGAAGCTCTAGGAAGAGGAGAGGAAGTTGGAGTGAGAGAGCTAGATCCCAAGCTTGATCCTTAGAGTTTGAGTCATTTAATCCGTGTCTTGAGGTTAGAATCTTGATTTACTCTTGTTATTCTTTATGTTGATCCGATTGCATTGCATGATCTAGCATGATTCATGAGCCATGCATTGATTTAAAGTTGTTTCAGAAAGAGAAAATGGTGTTCTTGTGTTCTTGAAGAAAAAAAACCATGTTTTGATCCGAAAGTTTGTATCAAGATCCATGTTTTTGTGTTTGTTTTCTTAAGATCTTCAAGTATGGGTACCAAGGTCCATGTTTTTGAACTCATAGCATGAAATCTCAGATTTTGTAATAACAAGTTATGATTTTAGCATTCATGTTCTTCATGTTCTTCATGTTCATAATCTTCATGTGCTTCAAGGAAGGAAACCCAGATTTCCAGACTTCACATTTCCCTAGGTGTGGTCACTGAGACCACTCTTGCCTAGATCTCACACTTAGGCCAAGCATCGTATCTCACCTTGGCCTACCTTGCATGATCACTTGCACCATTAGTCTATCTTGCATAAACACCTCGGCAGACAGCTGTTCGCTGAAGCCTTGGTAATCACACCTCGGCCAAGAGGTGTGGGACCTCGGCAAAGACCTGGTTGGTACCCAGCATGTTTTCTCGAGATGAAAAACAATGTTTCAACTTCCGGCATGTTTTGCTTTGACTTGACCTAGTCTTGAAGGAAATGCTGGGATCATTTGCATCCATGTGAGGCTTGTCTTGAGAGTGCATTTCATATCCATCTTTGAGCATTCTTCCTTGTCTCCTAAAAGTGCATTCAGTAGACTTTGCCCATGTGTTTGTAGGACTTGGACCCTTGCTTTAACCCCGACGTCTGAAGAGCTATGTGAGTGGTATTTTTAATAAAGCTATGTTATAAAGTTTTGATGAAGCTTTACTTTGTTTTAGATGACATTCTGGGAAAGTCCTTAGTGCCAGGGGACTATAATGCAACTGCACCTTTGTTTTGACAGTCCTTAGTGTCAGGGGACTATAATGCAATTGCACCCTTGTTTTGCCATTGACGGTTTTTCTCGTGGGTTTGTTTGTCCGGAATGTCATCCTCTGGTATTATGTAGATGTTATTAACATCCAAGAAGCTTTGAAAGATTTGATGGATGAACTTGATTCATCCCTTTGATTTGTAAAGATATGCTATGTATTGTTTTGGAAAAGATCTAGGATATCATTCATTCAAACATTTATTACTTATACCATTCACTGAGTATCCAAGCTCACCCTCTCTATATATATATAGGTGACGAGCAGGAAGGCGGTGACGCCTAGATGATTGTTTACAAGATGTTTTTGGATTCATGTTTTGTAGCATCTTGAAGATTATGCTTCTTGGCTTGTAGTTATTTCTTTTGTATGTGTCGGCTTAAGAAGCCTTTTGATCAAGATGTATTTTGTACTTTATTTTGTTTTATCCAAGTTGTGAGCGATATTAAGATGTATGACATTTCATTTGATCTATGCACAGCTCTTGTGGACTATTTAGATTTAAATTTATTCCTTCCGCACTTGTAAGCCCCATATGTATACTCTGATTGTGTGTGATCCTTGCAAGTTGGCCTTTGGTAATCTCGGATTACTGGCCATCACGGCACCATTCTACTAGGGGCGGAATGGGATTGTGACACCAGAATTGTTCTTTGAGCTCAATTTGACCTTCCAATCAACATTTCAAGCATGTAATAGCTCAAACTTCAAATAAACTTGTGCTAGCATGATACAAAGACCAAATTATGTCATTATGAAGCTCAATTTCATGGATCAAACACTTGCATGTCCCAAATTAACCCAAACTCATCACCAACTCATCAAATTCATGCATTCAAAGCTCCTACTCTTATAAATTGTACGTGCATGTTATATTGTTCTCATTCTCAACTTAGGTGATACAAATGGTGATTACAACATGAGATTTAACCAAAACTCTACATGAATCATGTATTTCAAGCTCAAATATGCAAATTCAAAACAATTTCTTACATGCATGCACATATTAGCCCTCAATTCAACAAAACCAACTCAATACATGTTCTTTATCATCATTCAACTTGGAATCCACAAATTACAGACTAAAATCCATGAGTCAAGGGTTGATCACTCACCTAGGAGCCTCAAACACCCAAGCTCTAGCCAATTCTTGAGCTTAATCTTCAAGATTTTCAAGCTTCAATGATCAAGCTCCAATCTCCTACACTCTCTCTCTCTAGCCGAACCTCCCCTTCTCTTCTTAGAGTTAAAATCAACCAATATTGAAGCTAAAGCGGAGAATTGAGTGTATATGGCCCTTTATATAGCCCCACTAAGTCAATTTATCAATATTAAATAATTGGGCACTTAAATAATCGTTCTGAATCTAATTATTTTGATCCGAATCAATTTCCAATTAAATTTCACCGTAGGCTCTAAAAATTACGCTAATCACAATGGCGCAATCAATTTCGGGTTTCGTGGCCGATAAGGCCTTCAAATTAATTTCCAAAGCAGATAATCAAACAAATATTCCTACGGTGAACAGATAGAATTTCAAAACCACATATTTTCGCATATTAGCACACAAAATCATACTCACATTAAGGACCAATTATCATATTACGGAATAGGGATATCACAGTGGTGGTGCTCCTCTATGGAGGAGCTGAATTGAGAGAGACATGGTGGTTGTTAAGATTTGTAAATCTGAGGAAGAGAGATCGATCTGTAGATTTGTGTGGCCTTCGGTGGCGGCGATAGAAACGAACGATAGAGGAGGACGACGAGGATAAGAGGGGACGAAAAAGGTGGCAGCAATAGGGGGAGAGAGAGGGCAACGATGGAGGTGAAGCGGATGGTAGGGTTGACAGAGGTGAAGCGGCGGCGTGAGGTAGACGTCCACTCCAGTGTCGCGGCAGTGGCAGTTGTGCTAAAGAGGAGGAAAGAGAGAGTAGAGGAATGAGGGAAGAGAGAGAGATATGAAGTGTGATTTGTTTGGGTATATATGGTGTATGTATATATATATATATAAGTTGGTTATTTTGCTTGGGTTTGTCATTTTGAATAAAGTGTTTATCTTTTACGGAAATAAAATTAAAATTTAGACTTTCGACTAGGGATGTAATAATGGCCCGGCCCAGTCCGACCTATCTGAGCTCGTGCTCGGGCCGGCCCAAGCAGGCCTTACGGGCTCCCTCCTTTTTAGTGAGTCGGGCCGGGCAAGGCCGGGCTGACCCATGGGCCAAATGGTAGGGCCCAGGCCCAAGCCCAAGCCCAAGCCCATTCATAATAAGGCTTAGAGCCTAGGGCCTAGGCCGCAAGTCGGGCCTAGTCAGGCTTTTTTTTTAATATTAAGAATGAAAAAAAAAATTATACTAGAGTATTTTAGTTAAGATTAATGAGATGTTTTGTTTGGTTATATTTCACGGTGATATTTAAATTTAGGGTCTAGCTTGTCTCATGTTGAGATCAAGACTGCCCGCCAGTCCGGCCCATAGGCTCATTTTTTACTCCCGTTTCAATAATCTGAACCGTTCAATGTGTAGAACTCTTCGAGTAATATATCCCTATGAAACATCACGTTGATCAGATATCGATAGTCACTTAATCGGATCAGATTTGTATTAAAAAAATGAATGGTGAAAAAATAAATAGTTGACAAAATTCAGATCCAATCAAACAGCTATCGATATCTGATCAACGTGATTTTTTACAAGGATATAGTACTCGATGAATTCTACACATTAACAGTTCAGATTATGGAAATGAGGCCTAAAAATGGACCCATGGCCGGACTGGACAGGTCTAGTCTTGATCTCAACATGAGACAAGCTGGACCCTTAAATTTAATTATGTATGACTTATGTTTTTTTAATTATAAACTTAGAACTAAAAAAGTATGCAATTATGTATTTTTTTTTCTTCCGAAATGAATAATTTTATATATATGAAAATAAAATTTTCAATATTACAAATATTAAATTATTTGTATAACATTTATTGAATGAATAATTT